CAGTTCAGAGCAGAAAAGAGACAGTTTATTGCAACTAGGAATGACAACAATAATAATATTTATGTGTCTCTCCTCTGTCTGCGCTCTAGATGTTTGTTCATTCTTCACCAGCAATTTTTGTCTGTTTTAATTTTTGTTTGCAGCACTACTAAAAAAATCACACTAACACCCTCAGCTGCAGGATGGGAAAAGATGATACATGCAATGATTTATTTTCCCCAAAAATTAAAGTAAAAAAAGAGCAAGAAAGACAAGGTACAAAGCAATGTTCTTTTTTTTTTTAATATTACAATGTAATGAATTTGCAGTACATATCTGTATAGGCAATAAAATTGTATGGCACAACATCACACTGCAATTTTGTAGGCTTTCCTCTCAATCCATTGCTTTACTTGTCAACATTTTTGAACGTATATTTTCATATATTCTGCCTCAGGCCATAAAGCTAAAGGGGAAAAAAAGTTGCACTTATACAAGGTTACAATATTTTACAACAATGCAATTGACTGAGGTTGTTTTCTTATGGTTTTTCCTCTCTCCCATTCTCCTTTTCAGTCACTGCACACCCCAAAACAGATATATTATTACACATTGAAAACAGCCCTTCAAGATCAGTAGTACAAAGGTCCTAGCACTATCTATTTATGCAGAAGGAGGACTGGATAGTAGATCACCCACAATTTGTTAATAAGAGTTGGGGCAGAATAAAAAGTCACCTTGACTTCCCTGAAATGCCGGCCATGAAGCAGTGAAAAAGCTTTCATCTAGGTTTCCGTTTCGGCTGATTTTTTTTTTTTATAAAACCCTCCAAATGTTTGTTTTTTTCCTGTGTCAGTCAAAGCAGCAAAATAAACAAAGTTCTCAGCAGCTGTGTCTTGTTGATTATTTTTTCAAACCACTTTCCAGGAAACTACCTTTTTTCACTGTTGTTTGTTTTCAAACTGCTTTGCAATTTTGCAAACCTTGGGGTATGATTTGAGACAAGGCTAAACTATTAAATGAGTGAAGGGGGAAAAAGAAAGAGAGATACAAGAATGCCCTGTAAAAAATAAAAAGGAAAAAAGAAACCCTAACCCCTTCATTTAGCCCAAGGGTGTCCAACCTTGGCCGCTTTTGTGGATTTCAACTCCTAGAATTCCCCAGCTGACTAGGCCATGCCAGCTGGAGAACCAGAGATGGGCTGCGTATACTGTAACAATTGGTTCGCTTAGTGCAGCACCCAAAATGTGAGTGCACGCACGCACGCCCCCTTCGCGCAGCTGCAAAAACATGGGGAATTCCCCATGCTTCGCGCAGCAGGTGAGTAGAACAGGCGAGGTGCGGAAAGCAGCTGGGCTACATGGCTGGGGCAAGTGAGCAAAAACGTGAGATATATAGGACAGGATAACGCGGGGGCAGGTGGGCAGGCCCAGCTGCTAGTTGTACATACCGGTACTGGCGAGCCGGTTCAAACTGCCAACAACCCATAGCAACTGTCGACAATTCTGGAAGTTGGAGTCCACATGTCTTACAGTTAGCAAGGTTGGACACTGCTGATTTAAACTATGCTGTATTGCCTTTACCAGCAATTTATTTACCAGTGGAATAGAAGGTAAGATAGGCCCCCCTTTTCTCATCCCCGCCCAAGGAAATTTGTTATTGACTGCTCCCTCTACTCAATCTCCTGGCCTATAGTTTGACAATTGAAAACCAGCTGCTATTGTTGGGCATTTAGAAAGCCTCTGGTGCTCACAATCAATATTCTGTATAAAAATATTTCTTTGTCCCTCTTTCACTGTTGGCCAGTGTTGTGGATGAAGGGCAAAAAGACTCCTAATTCTGCCTGTTAATGAGAGGAAGGTGGAGAATTAATATAATGGGCTATTCCATCATTGGTTTTTCAAGGAATTGATGCACACGGTACCATATTGGGTTGAACATCACACAGATCCTGGAATACCTTTTGAAGTATTTGTTGTTGATGTACACTTGAATTGCTCACATTCAAAGTCGTTTGGGAACTAACATTGACATGAGATGAACAGATAGTAAAAAAACCAAACTATTCTTGCCTGCTTTAAAGCTTTGAAAAGCTGCAATGGCTGTTTTAAGGGCTGCTGACTCAAGTAGCAGCACGATTCTACTTCCAGTTCTTTTTACCAGCTGAAAACAAAGAAATTTGGATAGAGCTAGCATCTCCGTTACGATTCACCCCAAACATGGCAAACCTAGCTATTATAAAATAAACATACCTGGAGTCAGCATGCACACAAATGTGTTTTCCTAGGAATGCACACTCAGGAACACAGAAACATGATTAGGCATGGATCATGTCTGTTATGCAATCATGTCATCATCACTTTCATGAGAGTTCAAGATCTAATTCTCATGGGTAGCCTTAAAATCATTTGATGGCTCATTGATCTCCAGTCATGGAAAGTAATGACTGCTTGGGATGGTTCAATGTTGATTTTATAGATTAAAAAAAAGAAAAAAGAATGGTGGGTTTTGTTTTTTTTGAGGGGACAGTCTTTAAACACAGCACAACACGTATAACAGTTGCTCTTTCATTTTTTGACCGCCTCAAATGCCTTTCTGAAGGTAGCATTCCTATTGATAACTTACAACATTTTCTTCATACTTACCCCACAGGGCAACAAGTTTAATTGATGCTTTGAATTCCCACTGAATCCAACGGAACTTCAAAATATTGACAAATTTGATTTTTTTTTAAAAAAAAATATTTTTTAACTGTGGCTTTTGACTTGAAAAATGCACCTGGTCTCTAAAGGAATAAAAGTTTAGGCCTTGTGACTCTTCATGCTATGGGCAGACGTCTTATTCCCACAGCTGGTCAGAAATACTGGGGCTCCTAAGAAATGTTCTGGGATTAACAATGCACATGAGAGGAAGGGGTGAGGCAGGAGGAGGAGATGAGGCCTAACTGTCAAGTATACCACTGCTTTTTGTACCCTGTTCCTATAAAATGAATTCATCCTCTCTCTTGCCCCTCTTTCAGATTTGCCACAGACTCATCCTGGAATTCTATGTACTTGGTGTATTATGGCTGTTTCTTTATAAGCATCCCCAGCTGCAGGCTTCCCTTTCCAGGATGGTTTATAGGGGCACGTTCATGATAAGCATGGTTATCTGCAGGTCAGACTTCCTGGTGTTTGGATGCTCATGCCTTAAGGATGGTGAAAGTCTTGCTTTTCCTCTGAAGCTCATTAAAATCTACACTATCCCAATGGCAAAGCCTGCCAGGCAACCGCTGGCCAGAAAAAGTAAAGCCCAGTAGTTACTAACCCAACAAACACTCCTTAAAAGCCAGTTGGACCATTTTGAATATTAAGTTTCTCTCCTTTAGTGGATGTGAATGCCTGTTGGAGAAACTGCAAAAACCCAAGCACCGTTTCAGCTTTTTGAACCGAATCTTAGCTGGCTGGACCTCTTTGATCTTTTTTTTTTAAAGAGGGCAAACATATGGAAATTGGGAAAATGTGATTATCCTGATGAATGGGAACAACATGAGGCAGGCCTGTGTCTGCTACTTCGCTTTGGGCTGGAAGAAAAAGTATTTCCAACGAAGAGGGAAACCGCCCCCCCCCCCTTGCTTTATTTCTTCAAGATAGGCCTTTGAGTTACCTCCACTGAGTGGGGAGGAACTGGAGTTGACAAAAAAAAAAAAAAACACAACTTGATAGTGACAGCAGAAAGGCAATAATTGAAGTGGGTTATTTCTCATGGCAGTGGGCATACAATTTCTTTCGCACCATCAAACTCTTTAGATATTATTCCAAAGTTTGTATGTTAAATATCAATCTAAAAATGAAAATCCTGTAAACTGGTCTTCTTTCAGAACTGAGTTTGCTGCAAGAGCAGGCCGATGGTGGGAAATTAGGAAGACATTTTTCTTTATTGCCCACAGACTTTCTCCCTGTTTTGTTCGACATTGAAACCAAATATCAGGCAATGGATACCCAACCTGTAATTCATGGATAATTAATTAAATTCTCTCAACCGGTTATACTGGTGTTGCAAGAAATGCATTGGTGTGATGGGGACGGGGTACCAAAGTCATAGTGTTCCAAACACTTGGTAGCATATAAAAAAGGTTGATTTGGTTTACATCAGCCTAAGAGTCCTTGGCTTGTTGTCAGAATCAGTTCATGGGGTTATGATTGCAAAGTTGCCCTGTGGAGAAGTACGTCTCTTTTTGTAATTTCTATTTAAAGGTAAAGGTTTCCCCTGACTGACTTTAGGGAACAGTGCTCATCTCTGTTTCTTAGACAATGGAGCCAGCATTGTCGGAAGACACCTCTGTGGTCCTATGGCAGCATGACTATTCACTGAAGTGCACAGAAATGCTGTTATCTTCCTGCCAAAATGGTACCTACTTGTCTGCTTGCATTTTCGTGCTTTCAAACTGCTGAGTGGGCAAGAACTGGGGAAAATAAAGGGAGCTCACCCCATCATGTAGCACACTGAACCCAGGCTGTTAGCTTTCCAGTTGACAAGCTCAATGTCCCCCCCAATTTCTGTTTAGGGGCAGTATATTCTTAGCATGCCTTTCACTGAACCCACAGTTGACTCGTGTCTTCATTATTGCATCCCTTGGCTATGCATTATTGCATTGCAGGAGGTTGAAGGGAGGGAAATGACCGGAAAAAAATGACATAAAGCAACTCAGCAACTCACACAATTCACATGGAAGATAAGGTGTGGACAAATTTCCTGTTGCAGTATGGCAACTTTGTTATAGGATATCCCAATGAAAATGCAGCCCGTCTCCTCAGACTTTGGCACCAGCCATCTATAGTGATAGCAACCACATGCCTTTTGGTGCTAGAGATCATATATAAACCCCTTCTGTTCCGTTAAAATACGAGGGTTTCAAAAGAGCTCACATGGGAGCAATTAGCCAGAAATTGTGGGTTGGCCTTTGTTTTCTTGTTTGTTTGACACACACACACACACACACACACACACACACACACACACGGAGGGGGGGGAGAGAGAGAGAAATCAGATGAACTTCCAGATGGAGGGCTCCTAATGCTACCAATCAAGGAACCCTGTGTAGCTATTTCTCCCCCACCCACCTCCGCTTTAATAGACTTTCTGTAGCCAAAAATGTGAGCAGGAGAGGGGGGAAGGAAGAAGGGAGGGAGGATGTCATGGGAAAATACAGGACTATTTAAAAAGAAAGACAGCACACTTTGGAATCCTCACCCCACCCCAATATTTCTGTGGAAAAAGGCCAACGATTGCATGATGGAAGCCTTGGTGGGAGGCAGCTTTCATGCTAGATAGAGCAAGAACAACGGCAAACTTGCAATCAGGAGAACAACAGCACAAGGGGAATTGAAAACTCAAGATTGTCTGATGCAGGAGAAATATCCCCTCTTGACTTCCACATTCCTGTTCCTGGGAAAGGGGATAAAAAAAGGCCTACATGCTTAAAACACTCCAAAAACGGCAATCGGCACCATGCCATTCTCTCTAAGGAAGCGAAAAGTGCTGCATTCAGACCTCTGAGGAGGGCGCACACTGCCCCCAGTCCAAGAGCGGAGGGTTTGGGTCATCTGTCCTGTTTGAGGTGTCCGTTTCTCGAGGGCAAAAGCAGCAGCCCTGTCATGTTGCCCACGATATGGCGGCACTGTGCTCCTTGGCTTTCATCCGCAGGGCTGCAATGCTGGAAGACTTGCGGTCCGGCTCGCCGTTCAACTCATAGCCATTGATGCTGGGGCTGATGCCAGCGCTGCCAAAGAGGCTGCCCATGTGCGTCTGCCCCACATGGCTGCCAGGACCCGAGACGCTCAGGAATTCAGAGACTCCTCCGGTGGTGTGGGGATGAGCATGGGGAGACATGCAGGAAGGCACCGAGTCACAGGGCACTACGCAGGCAGGCACAGGGGAGGCGGCACCGTTGTTGCCGATCCAGGAAGGATTCTGTATCTGAAACGCAGGGAAGGGGGAGTGAGTGAGGGAAGAAAGGAAGGAAGAGAAGAAAGAAAAAAAGGAAAAGGAAATTTGTTCACGTTGGCTCATTCCATGCTGCAAAAATCAAGAGCAGGACTTTTCTAAAGGAGTGGACCGATTGTACATTTACTGTAATACACCTCTTTTTTCAAAGTCAAGCCAACCCTGTATAATAAAAGAACTACTGTATTTTTTGGTCTATAAGATGCACTCCCCCGCCCCCAAAAAGTGGGTGGAAATCTCTGTGTGTCTTATTGAGCGAATGTTGCTAAAGCCTCACCCACCCGCCGGCCCCCACCCTTTGGCCTCTGCCTCCCAGCAATTTGCCTCTTTGTATCAAACAGCAAACAGCCTGGTCAGCTTCAGCACAGCCTGATTTAACACAAGCCCATCAGCTGTTCCAGGTTGCGGGGATTGTTGCCACCCATTGCCGCCATTGCCACCCATCAATGTTGCTGCCCATCACCCCCTCCGCATGCCCCATTTTGGGCCTCCACGCATTCCATTTTCAGGCATCACTGCTGCCACCTATCACCGCTAAATGGTGCTGACTAGTGGTGGCGATAGGTGGTGGCAATCCCCGCCACCTAGAATGGGCTGGAAACAGGATGTGTGGAGGTCAAAAATGGGTGCATGGAAGCCATAAATGGGGTGCACAGAGGCAGCAACAGGTGGTGGCGATGGGTGGCAGCAATGAGCGGTGGCTATCCTTGCAGCCTGGAACAGTTAATGGGTGGTATTTTGGCAGACCAAGCCAACCGTCAATCAGTTGCTTGTGTTAAATCAGGCTGTGCTGAAGCTGACCAGGCTGTTTGCTGTTTGCTGCAAGGAGGCAAAGCAGATTTTTTTCCCCTTGTTTTCCTTCACTAAAGCTAATGTGCATCTTATAGTCCAGAGTGTTTTATAATCTAAAAAATATGATAAGTATAGCGGGCCCAACTGGAAAAAGAAAGCTCAGAACCATCTAGGTTAGAAACATGCGGAAGAGGCCTTCATCCTGCAGTGGATAGACAATAGCTAAAATGATTGTGATGATGAATAAAAGAAGCATTTAAGTATATATATTTTTGGTGCTAAAGGTATAAGAGATGGATGAACTTAGAGGAAACGGGTGGATAGAATTGCTGTGGTGGTTCAGTGGTTCAATATTGCAGTCTGACTCTGCCCACAACCTGGAGTTTGATCCCGACAGGCTCAAGGTTGACTCAACGTTCCATCCTTCCGAGGTCAGTAAAATGAGGACCCAGATTGTTGGGGAAAATATGCTGACATTTTGTAAACCATTCAGAGAGTGCTGTAAAGTGCTATAAAGTGGTATATCAGTCTAAGTGTTATTGCTATCATGGGGAAATTTAATCCTAATAAAGACGCTTAGCCAAACAAACCTGATTGTAGTTTAGGATGCAACATCACCAACCAGATGAGCAAACACTATGCTTACCCAAATGCAAGTGTGCAGTTTGGGTAGCAACAAAGTTCACTGTGAAAAAGCTGCCTTAGGTAGCAGGACAAGTGCTACAGTGGGTTGCTATGGAAATGCTACTATTAGATACACCCATGCAAAGGTAAACGGGTTGTTGGGATTTTCCATTTGTTCAGAAATATGTAAATGACCAAATGTGGATCAGTCAACGACATATCATGGTTGGAAAGGTCTTGTGTGAAATAATCCTCACTTTCAGACTGCCTTATTTCATGACTGTCCAAAGTTATGATAGTGTAAAAACCAGCTATGCGACCAGTCCTTGCATTTATGACCATCACTGTGTTCCAAAGTCACATGGTCGTCCTTTTCTCAGACACAAAGTACATACTTTCATAAGAATACTTTTTTTTCAAGTAGAAAAAAGAAAGATACCCCAGATTCTCTCTAATTCCAAGCATAGAAAATTTGAATATTTTAAAAGACAAAGGTTTCCTGTGAAGGAAACTGAAGGAGAAGATGGGAATGGAGGCTGAGAGAACATAGGTCAAAGTCTGGAATTTTCAGGAAAAAGAGAAATATAGGAAGGTTACAGGATACTTTCACTTCAGAAAGCCTACTATGGTAGGAAGAAATGGATAAATGACTAGAGAAATGTGATATGTCTTTCATTTCTGTTTGACTGTTCTTGGACTAAACCAGTATTCTCTGCTTTTATGCTTCTGCACAAAGTAAGGGATTCTGTTCTGAATTATACTTCAGGTATATTCCAGAAGATCTATTAAAAAAACCTTAACAACCTTTCTTGTAATGATGATGATGAAAACAACAACAGAAACAATACTATGCCCCTTGTGGTATGTTTTTAATTGAGGGGTGTGTTTGTTTTACTCTTCCTGGGCATTGGTCTCTTCTTTCTGTTCTTTATTATTTCAAGATGTTTCAATAGTTCATGCCACCCAGAGTTGTCATAGAATTAGGCAGCCATACACATTCGGAAATAAATAAGTGAATGGAATCTTCCAATCTCTTTGCCGAGATTTTGGACAGAGAAATCCTATTTATAGTAGACCAGTAGTTTCTTATTATCTGCTGGATGCGGTATACTTTTGCGGTTTTTCTTTTTTATATCAGCCTGCTGTTTTCCTATATCTGAATAGTGCTGTACTTCATCTCCTTTGCTATTGAATGTGTGCCTTGTGAGCGTTTAAAGTTAAAGGAGAGATTTTATATTTTAAACTCTTATTTTTTTTTACAATAAAGCCTAATTTCATTTCTCTCTTCTGAAATTGGCTTGTTTCCCAAGGAAGGGAGGGCCACTTCCTCACCCTCCACCCAAACTCAAACTCTACTAAATTTTTTACCATTTTATTACCAAAAAGATCTTCCTTTGTCATAAACCAAGGTTAGCAGGAGGCACCTGGTGAGAAACTTTGTGGTGGAAGATAAGCAGGGGTGGTGGGAACTACTGAGCTGCTGCCCCAAAACAAGAGGGGCCATTATATTTTATTGATTTAGTCTATTTATTACATTTTTTCACAGTCCATCTCACCTAAACGGACTTTGAATGGGTAGAGTATAGATAGACATAGGATATGATGACCTTGAGAGCTTATGGAAGAGATTTAAGATTCTTTTGGCTTGGAGGTTGGGAGGGACATTGTGCAGGCTATTATACATATTTGTGAGTTTAAACTGAAAATTGAAAGAAAGCATTTGTGAGATTTGCACAGAAACCAGCTTTTTTTTTTTTTTTGAGAAATTTTTATTATAATTTGGACACAATCTTAGTTAGAATCATGGTGAAGAAGAAAAAAAAATAATGGAACTCCAGCTCTCTGTTGTCTAATTAACTAATTTTATTTTATTTATAGAAATTCACATCCTGTCCTATGTAAGCAGCTTAAGTATTAGCTGAAACCAGGATATGACAGAGACAGAAGAGGGGAAAAGTTACCCAAAATTACCTGGCTGAGAACTAAAAGTCTTTCATGTATAATGATGTGCCATAAACAATTCTTTTGAAGTCAAAGATTGCTAAACGGACAGGTCTGTACTACTTTTAAAAAGTTTGAAATCTGTATGCAGAAAGTATTAAAGTTAATTTATCTGCCAAAGACCTTCTGGCATTGCTAAACATTCCAGTGAATGTTCCAGGCCACACATAGCAGAAGGATTGCTACTGAAGGATTTATGCCATATTATGGACATTGCCATTAAGGAGTCTGTGGTAAGCTTCTAAGAAAGACTCATCATCCTACCTTCCACAAAATTGGAATACAATATGGGCAGCCAGAAAGTGGAAAGTGTATGGAGCTTGTAGATACCGGAACACTATGACATATTTTCATGTCATAATTATTTAGTACAGTTTGCCTTTCTTTCTTTGCTTAAATAATTCATCAAGGTGGACTAATGGTAACCTGGCAAGATAAATCAGATCATATGATTGAATTCTGTCAAAGTTATGGATTTAGGCAGACAAAACAAACAAACAAATGGATCATCAAACCAATCGACTAAGTGTTATAGCAATAGCTGTCATGTCTCCAGGGCATGCTGGAGCCATGACACGATGCGTTGTGTCATGTCAGACTATGCTATCAAGAGGGGAAGTGCTGTTAACCACCCAACCTGGGGCTTCGACTGTTCCACGGAGATAACGAGCCTTGCTGACGTCACACACTGAGTTGTTATAGCCTGTGGGCGGTTGTAGACAAAGTGATTTGGATGCTGCCTGTTGAATAATGATCTTGAGAGGGATGGAGGGTCACTTCATAGGCGTAAATACCATGATGGAATATGATATTTGTACAAGTATAGTAAATAGGGGTAAATAATTAATGGATAAAAGCACGATGCATAGGGTGTTACATGGTGACCGGATGTGATGCAGTAGCGCTCACCGGATGGTGGATAAACTCATTAAGTTGTTAACTGGTGTATAAATACAGCTCTGGCTGCGAGATGCGCCAGAGCTGACTTTAATTGCTTTTGGTTACTCGTTGTTACCTGAATCCAGAACATTGTATGAATGAATAAAGACTCATTTGATCATTACCTTGAGACCTTTGTTTCCCTTCCTGCCTGGAATTCGGCGAAACAGCTGAGAATAGCATTTAGACTTATATACTTCTTCATAGTGCTTTAGGGCACTCACTAAGCAGTTTACAGAGTCAGCATATTGCCCCGAACAATCCAGGTCCTCGTTTTGTGACCTCAGAAAGATGGAAGTCTGAGTCAACCTTCAGCCAGTCAGGGTCAAACTGCTCAACAGTCGGCAGAGATAACCTACAATTCTGCATTCTAACCACTATGCCACAATGGCTACAATCACTCAAGGCATGAAAGACTAGGCTGAAATTATTTTAGACATATTATGACAATGCTTAGTTGTTTGAAACAAGTTCAACTGATGGGAAAAGTGAAAGGAAAGAAGAGGATAACCAACAGCAGGATGGATGGACTCAGTTGCAGTGGCAATGGGTGCATTGCTGGAAGGTCTGAAGGACTAGGTTATTATGAGGAAAAATCCATCTATATGATAGCTGACACCAGCTTGTTGGCTCATAATCAATCAATCAATTGGCCAAGGCTCCAAATGGTTTACATATTCTCAAAATCACTTCAGCACTTCTCCATACTGTAGAGTACTGTCCTTGTGGTAAGATGTGTGGCAAACAAATGTAATAAATAATAAATAAACAAATTACTGTTAAAATTGAAAAGGCTAAAATGTTCATTGCTTGAACCTTAAACTTTCATTTCACCTAGCAAAATTTCATTTGATTTATGGCAGAACCTCTGATAAAACTGTCAAGAGGTTCACGACAGGTGTGTTGATGAATAGCACTTACCTGGGCATAGTTTTCTGCCCGAGTTAGCAAAGGCAACTCATAGGCAGTGGAGAAATGTGTGCGAACCTGTTGCATTTGACCAAATCGCTCTCGTTTTCTCCATTTTGCTCTTCGGTTCTGAAACCAAACCTGAGGAGATCAGCACCAAGAAATTCACATCAGAGAAGAAGTAATAGGTGGCATTTTTCAATAGACAGTTCATTCAGAAGGTTTAAACAGTACAATTGTGTCGAATATTTAAAAGGGGTTCTTTTTCAATGCATACAAGCACAAATCAAGCCCCTCTTTTTGAAGTGTTAAAGCAACCATCCTTTCCAGAAAGTAAAGCAAAATTGCTGTCTCGGCATATGGGGATAAGCTGCGAATTGTAACAGCAAGCTGTAGTTTCAAGTCTTCCAATGATGAGGCTACTTTAACTATTTGAAGGGAAGTGCATCTGAACCACCTCCTTAAATATTTTGTTTAGCTAGTTAATAATTTGAAGAGACCCAGTTTGGTGCAGTGATTAAAGCATCAGGCTAGTAATTGTGAGACTGAAAGCCAGAACTGAAAAATCAACAAATGATTTTTAGAGCAGATTGTATAAAGAAGCAGAAGAAATAGTAGATCAACTCATGCAAGATCAAAACAACAACATAACACAGTTGTCAAAATGATTCACTGGAACATCTGTGAAAATGATCATGCATCAATATTGAAAAATTAGTGGGAACATAGACTTGAAGAAATAGAAAAGAATGAATAGGTTAAAATATTGTAGGATTTCTGAAAACAGGTTGATAAAGTCTTGGCTCACAATGTACCAGATGTAATTGTGGTTGAATAGATCATTGATATGGCAATGCTAAGGGATAGTAGAACTGAAAATAAAAAATTGAAGATCACAAAGTATCAAGATCTGAAAATTGAAATGGAAAGATTATAGAATGGCATAGAGCGACCATCTTGAACCCAGTAGTATCAGCACACTGGATGCCATGCCAAAAAATCTTGGCAACCTTGTAGAAAATCTGCTCATTGACAAAATTTCCGAGTGTCAGTCGCAAAGACCACACTACTGGAATCCACATATATATTAAACTGATACATTATGACATTCTAGGTCAGTGGTGGCTAACCATTTTCGGTTCCCTTGCTGATAGTTGTGCACTTGCTTGCATGCGCTCACATGCCTGCACCCAGAAGACAATGCGTGCTGGCCTTCCCACACCCCCTGCGCATGCGTCTGCAATCCCTCACACACAGCACGTCCCTTGTGCATGCGCACATATCTCCCGCGCAACCCCCTCCGCCCTCTGTGCTTGTGCGCCAGATACCCAACAATCAGCTATCAGGTGGCAGTGCACGCACGCATGCGCAGTGAGGCTCTTAAGGGCGACCTCTCGCATGCCAGGGGAAATGGCGATGCATGCCACTTCCGGCACACGTGGCATAGGTTCGCCAACACAGTTCTAGGTTCTTGGGAAGAACTTGATGCATATGAAACCCACACCAGCTAAAGAACTGGCAGCTGTGATTTCACATTGTTGTGAACAGATATAATAATAACAACAACAACAACTTAAAATCCAAATGGATAGGTGCTATCCTTTGCACCCAAAAGTCATATTGGTTGGCCATGTTTGCCAAGAGCTGAAAGGATAGAGGACTTCTACTGATGTGGTAGGGAAAAAAAGCACAGTCTGAATGGTTACATCAGGGGTGTCCAACCTTGGCAACTTTAAGACTTGTGGACTTCAACTCCCAGAATTCCTCAGCCAGCAAAGCTGGGAGTTGAAGTCCACAAGTCTTAAAGTTGTCAAGGTTGGACACCCCTGGGTTACATTAAAAAAGCCAAGAATCTTTGCTGAAGTAAGTCAATTAAGGAAAACTCTTGAAAACAACAAAAGTGAAGATAGAATACAGAAGGGAAACAATTCATTTAATAGTAGATTATCCATATAATAATAATAATTTGAAGGGAAAATGCTGCTCCTGAAATCTAGAAGTAGAAGCTATCTCAAAGGTCATCTAATCATATCCTTTGCTCAACATAGGATCCTTCGAAGCATTTCAGACGAATGAAATGGATTGTCTCACTTCATGAGGCAATTTCCCCCTCACTGATTGATAGTTTGAACCATCAAGAAATTCCTTCTAATATCAAGCCCGAATCTATTTTCCAGTTGTTTCAACACACATTTGTTCAGGTTTTGTCCTCCGGAGCAACAGAGAACAAATCCATTCCCTCCTCAGTATGATAATCCTTTAGATAGGTAATGACCGGTACCACATCATGAAATACTTTGTTCAATGCTTTGCTGAAGTCTGAATATATTATGTCCATGACATTCCCCTGATCCATTATGCTAACAGCTCTGTCAAAAAAGAAATTAAAACTAATCTGGCCTGGCTTGTTTGTGACAAACCCATGCTGAATGTGAACTGTTGCATAATCCAAATGCTTATAAATATGTTATTTCATTGTCTGCTTGAGGACTTTGTTCAGTATAGGCATCAGGTTAAAAGAGCTGTACTTCACAGAGTCCAGTTTTTGAAGACAGATTCAACCTTTCCTTTCCTTCAGTCTTCTGAGATCTAGCCGTTCTCCAGAATTTCTTAACGTGTACGGTTGTCAGTTCTACAATCATCTCTGCTCCTTTCTTCAGTACTTTAAATTACAATTCACCTTGTTTTGGAGAATTGAATTTGTTTATGTTATCTAAGATGTTCTTTTGCCATCTCTTTGCCATCTCCTTGTAACATGCAGTTCCCACCTTCCACCAGCTGGTGCCATCATATCATATCCTCCCTTTCAAAGCCATTTATATTGTGTCATTTATATTGTGGTTTTTATGTTGGCTGTAATGTGTTACAGCACTATTTTTTTTATCTCTCATTTCTCCTGCACATACAGACACATGATAAAGAAAATTAATACTAACAATACTGCTATTACTATTTCATGCAGGAGAAAAAAAAAACCCTAAACCCAAACAGGAACCAGAATGCAAATTGCCAGATTAAAACAAATAATATTTTCTCTCCAACAGAACAACAGTGCATCCCCCAAAAGTTGAATAGTTGTACACTATAGCTCACTTTTAAAGTATCATATATGTGATTTACTGTTGAGAGCTGGATAAGACCTATTTAAGCTAGAGTTCTATTTTACATATAAGACACATTTAAGACATTCATCATATGAACAAGAAAATAACTTTCCTCACTTATTGTTGCGCTTCAGCTGACAATTAACATAATTTTGCCTATGATTTAGGCAATAGTAAATAGCTTTTTCAAACTATATAAATTGGTGGCTATCGTCAATGTCATAGTAGAAAATCTACAGTTAATTCTATCAGATCTATCTCTATATGTGCTCCCATATCTGCTCCCAATATGGTTAAATGTTTTTCAGTTTTAAAATTGTAAGCCTAGAAACATTGATTTTGTCAATATTTTATGATTACAATAAAGCTAAATTATCAATCATCAATAAAGAATCTAAAATAAGAGTTGAATCAGGACTCCAATCAATTGTCATATTTTTCAACCTTTGCTGCAGTTCAGCTATTAAAAATATTAATTTCAGTCTGGATGATACAGTGCTTAAAATACTATTAGAATTCTTATTTTTAAAAGTAAAATAAGGCTGGCTGGAGAATTCTGGGAGATGAAGTCCAAAGTCTTAAAGATGTCAAGTTTGGAGGCTCCTGGTTTAATCTAACGATAATAACTTAAAAGACAATAATTATAATAAATCTTAATAAGCAAATAATCTGAGCATTTCTTTGTACAAGTGAAATTTCTAAGTCCTAGTCTGCTTTAGATGTGTTTGTTCCTCATTAGTTCCCTTAATTAAACTCAAGAGATGAATAAATATACCCATGATGGAGATTCTCAGTCATTCAGGTCATGGTTGTCCCAAAGGTACTTTTTTCAAGAAGCAATTGGACTTTCTGGTTTTTCTTTGAAGACGTTTTGCTTCTCGTCCAAGAAGCTTCTTCAGCTCTTCCCCACCATCCAGTCAGAGCTGAAGAAGCTTCTTGGATGAGAAGCGAAACACCTTCCAAGAAAAACCAGAAAGTCCAGTTGCCTCTTGAAAAAGGCACCTTTGGGACATGTTGCCATGTATTATTTTCCTATTATGCTTATTTTGCCGTTTTGCATATTCTTCTCGCCCTGGTCCCTTTTTAGAACTGATAATAGGAGAGAATAGCAATTCCCTTTTCTGTCATCCCTTCTCCTATTTTTAGAGTCTGACTTCCCTTTTAAACTGCTGGTGTCTCACTTTGATCTGGGAGAAGAGATTTCCTTCTGCTTGCTTGAAGTTGGCAAGGAGCATCTCGGTGGCCTCCCTAGGCGGGGAGATGAGATGGTTTGTAACTTATCCAAGCAGCATCACTCATTTGCTAGGAGCACGTTTGTAACGACTGTCTGCCAGCTGTAGCATTTTGAGTTATGACAATTATTTTGGCCTTGCTGGGCCTGTACTCTATACCAGAAATGATGATTCCCTACCAGTAAGACAGGAACTCCAAGAGACTACAAGATCAAACGGGGAGTATGCTGGTGGGAGGGGAGAGTGGGCTACATCAAGGATGATGACGCAGGAACACACATTTATGCGGGGGTGGGGGGGAGGGGAACAGCCTAAGCAATAGGGCTGAAAGTATCTATTGCCATAGCTGGTCTGCCTTGCCTTCACTATAGATTGACACTGACCCCTCCTGTAAACAGTCCAGCTGGCAGCCACTTGCAGGCTTGGCCAAGCCCGTGTACCTTTGATCTGCAGATGCAGAGTCCAGGATGCTGACCCTGACTGATGTGAAAAGGAGTGGGTAACAGGTAGAGAGGGTGCTCTCAGTGGGAAGCAGAACATATGCTATGCAGATGTGCCCATCTCCATAGATGGCAAACACATTTCTCCCTGTCAGCGTAAAACCATTCCCGAAGGTCCTCCTGAATATGCATGATGTGTGCTGCAGAATTGTTCTAGGCTATCCAGGCATGGCCAAAAGGCGAGGAGAAACCTTAACAGCAACTTCTGGTGGGAAGGCTTGTGCCGGCAATATGTGTAAAAATCCAAATATCAAAGCTGCTTTCATATTTACAGGTTGAACTTTTCAGAGGAATGAAGCTGACCT